GGAGGCGTGGAGAGCGGAGCCTGACCTCAGGTCGGGCATGGCCCCCTGCAGGCGGGTTCTGGACGAGCAAACAAAAACATGATCCGGCGATATTCCCAAATTGCCGAAAATACCAAAAACCGAAAATCGTCCCCTTTTGAATGTTCCTCCTGTGGAGGGACAGGCCCGACTTGAGTCTAACCCTGTGTAAGAAGAGAGAATCAACAATTGGCATCCACGGGTGACCACCTTCCGTTCCTCGTGCAAACATCCCACCCGCCCCCCCTCAGCTCTCGGCACAGCTCCTGCAGGCCGCTAGACGTGAGTGCAACTGTCCATTGGGACTTGCTCCCGACTCTTGCGTGGCGCAGTGACGCGTGGACTTTGCTAATGACTCGGCTGGGCGAGTGATGATGGCAACAGCAACATCGGTGACGGCGACGGCCGACGACGGCGATGATGCTGATGCTGCTGATGATGATGATGACGATGCTGCTGATGGTGGTGATGATGATCATGATGTTGGTGATGCTGATTATGCGAATGATGATCATTATGCTTATGCTTATGAGTATAATGGTGATGATGATGCTGATGCTGACGATAATGCTGTTGTTGCTGATGCTGATGATAACGATGATGATGCTGCTGATGCTGATACTGATGCTGCTGACGTTGATGATGATGATGATATGATGAGGATGATGATGATGCTGATGATGACTATGATGATTATGATGATGTTGATGATGATGATGCTGCTGCTGCTGCTGCTGATGATGATGATGATGATGATGATGATGACGGCGGTAGCGATGATGACGATGGCGGCGGCATCGACGATGACGACGATGATGACGAATAGGACTCCTTATGATTCCTCCTCCTCCTCCTCCTCCTCCTCCTCCTCCTCTTGTCCTCCTCCTCCTCCTCCTCCGCCTCCGCCTCCGCCTCCGCCTCCGTTCTTCTCCTCCCCACGCGCGAGCGCCGGCGGTCCCCCCTCCACGGCCGTCCTCGCCCCTCCCCCTGCCTCCCTCGACGAGTGCGCGCGCAACACGTCCCACCAAACGATTTGCTGTTGCTGCGGCCGATAGGACGGGTGGAGGTGCTGGCCCTCCACCCCCTCGTCGTCGTCGTCGTCGTCGTCGTCGTCGTCGTCGTCCCTGTCCGCCTTCTCTGGTAAGAGGTGCAACAAGCAGCACAGTGGACTCACACAGCGATGACCTGCTATCGTAGTGTGCTGCACAGTGCGGTCGAGCCTCCGAGAAAAGTTGAGGCATGAGCGCAGGGTTGGGTCAGAGGCTGGCCTGATGAGACCCCGGGAGCAGCACCCGCTGTCGCGACAGAGGAAGCAACATGCTACATGACCTGGCCCCGGCGATGACAATGACTGGATGAGCAGGAATAGATAGAGGACCAGGACGATTACGAGAAAAATAAGAAGAAACAGAAGAAGAAAGCACCGACAGTGGAAAAACCTGGCTCCCGTCGAACCTTCAGAGAGGATACCCCACATGATTGGCGTGGGCCTCTTCGGCATGAAGGATCCAAATTGTCTCGGTGCAGGCTGAGTGCAGAAAGTATCCGCCACCGTGCCTCCTGGCACGTTGAGGCGTGGAAGAATGCCGAGTGCTGCCCGGAAGGGTTTCTGTGGTCTTCTACGGGACCCACCCAGCCCTCTTGCCATAGAGCGGCGCGCGCACCGCCCCTCCTCCCGAAAGATCCTGGGCGGCCATGGCGCTTCCATGGGGCCTTTTAGTTTTTTTTTTTTTCCAAAACGGCCCAGGAAGCCATCCAGGCCGCCAAGATTGCCTAAGATGGCTCCAAGACGGCCGAAGCTGGCTCAAGATGGCTTCGAGATGGCCCAAGAGGCCTCCAAGACGGCCCAAGAGGCCTTCAATAGAGCCTCCAGCAAAGCCCGAAGAGGCTGAAATCATTGATTGCCCATCGGTTTTGAATGATTGTCGCATTCTCGCCCAGCCCAAGAAGCCTCCGAGATGGCCTCAAGACGGCCCAGGAGAGCACCAAGACGGCCCAAGAGGGTGCCAAGATGGCCCAAGAGCGGCCCGAGAGGACCCCACGTCGGCCCAAGAAGGCGTTCAGACGGCCCTCAAGGTCCCCAAGTTAGCTCCAAGACGACCCAGAGAGCCTCCCAAGATGGACTCTCAAAGCGCTCAGACGGCCCAAGAGCGCCCTCAGACGGCCCAAGCAGCCCCCGAGAGCCCCCGAGGCGCTACCAAGGCGCTGCCAAGAAGCCCCAAGAGGCCCCCAAGAACCCCTCAAGAGGCCCCCAGAACCTTCAAGAGGCCCGAAGTGTCACACGTGACGGCCTCCCGTGCCCCCTTGAATAGTCGCCACCCAACATGATGGACTGTGCCGCAGGTAGCTGGATATCCCGAAGCAAAGCCATACAATGTGCACAGTCGCACTGATCGGGGAGACGGAATACTCGGGTACGGTGGACTCGGTTTGGCCCGACGGGGGCATCGGGAAAATGACGAGAACCAATCTGAAATGACGCGCGCTCCCGCTGCAGACATCCCACGGAAACTGGACCGTCAGAATCCAGGACGCGCTCGTCAAAAAACGTAGGCGAACCCGAGTTCCGGCGCACACGAATCTTGCGCTTCCCCGAACTGAACGCAGCGAGTGGGCACGTGCCCCTTCTGGTCGGATCCTGCTCCGCGTTGCCGCCACGAGCGTGGCAGTTCACGACGCGCACCGACCTGCAGGTGGCCTTGTGAAGCATGTCCACTCGCCTCGGCCGTGGGTCGCACGTGACACACCCATGGCAGGCCATGGTGAAGTCTCCCTCTCTCGCACGCCAACGACCACTGGCAGTCGTTAACACGCTGCACATTGTGCACCGCTATTACTTACTCCCCGCCCTTCTCCTCCTCCTCCTCCTCCTCCTCCTCCTCCTCCTCCTCCTCCTCCTCCTCCTCCTCCTCCTCCTCCTCCTCCTCCTCCTCCTCTCCTTGCACTCTACACTTCATCAGAGGAATCTGAATTCCTCTACTCACTCCAGGTCCTGGAATCTAGAATGAAACACAAATCCGTGCACAAGACCTCCTGGCTCTTCGTGCTCTTCCTGCTCCATTTGCCCCTCGAAATTACCCGAAGAGTGCTTGCCCTTAGGGGTCCTTACTTGTCTCACTAAGGGGTTGGTTGGGTCCGGCGAAGTTTCGCCACGTTGCCGCCCGTGGCCGCCTCGTGACCACCTCGTGCGCTGGGTGGGTCTGGCGATGTTTCGCCACGTTGCCGCCCGTGGCCGCCTCGTGGCCGCCTCGTGCGCTGGGCGGATCTGTCGAGGTTTCGCCTGCTGCTCGTAGCCGCCTGCCTCATAGGTGGGTCTGGTGGGGTTGGGCCCCGCAGCCGCCCGTGACCGCCCCGTGGACGCCTTGTGCGCTGGGTGGGTCCGGCGAGGGTTCGCCACGTTGCCGCCCGTGGCCGCCTTGTGGCCACCTCGTGCGCTGGGTGGGTTTGGCGAGGCTTCGCCCCGTTGCCGCCCTCGGTCGCCTCGGCCTCGTGTGCTGGGTGGGTCCAGCGAAATTTCGCCCCGTTGCCGCCAGCTTGCACCATCTAGCTCGTAACACACACACACACACATATTGCACCACATAGCTTGCACCGCACAGCGTGCATATAATAGCTCACACTGCATCGATTGCACCACGTGGCTTGCTCCGCATTGCACTGCCACGTAGATTGCAAGACATAGCTTGCACCATATTGTTCCTGCCACATAGATTGCACAACATAGTTTGCACCACAGTGTTCATACCACATATGATGCACCACATTGCTTCACGCCGCATATATGGCACATAAATTGCACCACCTAGATTGCGGCACACAGCTTACACTACACTGTTCGCACCACATGGATCACACTTCACGAGTCTGACTGCATAGCTGGCTTGGGGTCCACGCTAACAAACATATCACGTGGTTTATGGACGACGTTGCGCCCCTTTCCCCTCCATAACCTTCTCCCCCCACCGTACCTTTCCCTCGTCCCCGTCCTCCTGCTCCTCCTGTTGCTGCTGCTGCACTTCCTCATTACACAGCTGTGGCAAAATGTTCATCCATTTGTTATGGCGACGATATCCCCCATCCCTCGTTAGAACCCTGACATCGTGATTTTGGCGTCATTCGGTGGAGTATTTTCCGATCTGCCTGATGTTGATAACTCTGTTGGCCCAAACCCAGATCGGGAACTCCTCCGCGCCAGACCTCAAATGTATCGACCAGGATGCGCCCGCGCGCGGAATCGTCGGTGTACCATTTCTCCGAACTACTCCGCCCTGCTGCGCTATTGGCAAAAGCATATTGACAGCCATGTTCGTCATAGTGCTTGGGAAAATTGCAACCCGCCCCTCCTTTCATGGATGATCCGATCAATGCCCGGGTCACGTCCAAAGCGATGGCGATGACGACGATGATCAAAACGGCGTGAAAGATGATGCCACTCATAGCGCTGCTGGCGATGGCGATGACTATGCACCGCGGCCGCTGGGGCCATTGGTTGGGTACCCAATGGGCACGAAGCGTGTATGAGGGGGCCGAAATTGCGAGGCGACGGCGTGTGCGACCGCGGCCACTGGAGCCTTCGGTGGAGTTCCCTGTGGGGCCACATAACAAAGAGAGTGCGCCGAAATGGTGAGCCGGGGGCATGCGGCCGCAGCCACTGGGGCCTTCGGTGAATCTGTTCATGGGGCCACGGAACGTGCGAGGGGTGTGCCGACATGTCGAAGCGGCGGCGGCGTTGAGGAGGACGATGCACGCGTGCGTCTACGCTTCCGTCGTCTCAACCGCCGTTTTGGCTCAAGGCCGGGAGTGCTCCCAGGCGGCGAAGGATGGGAAGGTGGCTGCTGCACTGCGCGCGCTGAGCCCCAAGAGGAAAGCAGGCCGATGGATCATCCTTTGCGATAGCAAAACTTTTTTTGAGCTTAAATCAGCATTGAGGCTTACAGGACGAAGGGCATTGCCCTCTGGAGCGTTCCTCCCAAGAGCCCCGATGATAACCCAATAGAGATGCTCTGGGACTGGCTTCGAAGGAAGCTTAGGTCGATGGAACTGGAAGACTTGCACAAGAAGCGCCGGCCCTTGGGCAAGACGGCCTACACCGCCAGGGTTAAAGGAGTCCTGGACTCGGGGAAGACCCAAACGGTGGCGAAGAACGTGGCTGGTAGGTTCCAGAAGGCCTACAAGCAGGTCGTGGACCGAAATGGGGCCGCGGCCGACAAGTACTGCTCGATTGCTACTTGCTTGGACTTGTACGTGCACTGGGCATGCATCGCTGGAAAACGGGGCCAACATTGCACAAAGCCGTGCGAAACATTTCATCCATTTGCTATGGCGAAGATGTCCCCATCCTTCTCAGGATCCCTAACATCCTGATGCTGGCGTCATTCGGCGGAGTAGTATCCGATCCGCCTGATGCGTACAACTCTGTTACCCCCAAAACGGATCGGGAACTACTCCGCGCCACACCCTATTACGTATCGAGCGGGATGCGCCCTCGCGCGGAGTAGTTGGAGTACTCTTAATCCGAGTTGCTCCGCCCTCTTGCGCTTTTGGCGAAGACACATGGGAAAACTCTCGTCACAGTGATGTATCCCACTCGCACATCTTACCTCCTCCTCCTCCTTTTCCTCCTCCTCCTCCTCCTCCTCCTTTTCTTCCTCTTCCTCTTTCCATCACTATCCCCTTCCTTCTCACCCTCTCATTCTCGACATTTCTACATCCAGGATGTCTTCCGAATATTTCTGTCCCCGTCTACCACCCTTTCACTTCGTGGTGCCGCTGGCATGCTCGCCCGAACGCCGCGCCATTGAACTGCGTCTCCATAAAAGTGATGTTGCTGAACGCCTCGTCTTTCACTGCAATGAGCAAGCCGTCCGGTGGTCTGTGGGCCGAATCTGCCATTGAAGCCACTGCCACTGCTGCCGCCAATCGCCGTCTCTTCCCCCTCCCCCTGCTCAGGCACCTCCCTGCCCCCCCTTTCTGCTGAGGCTCCTGCTCCCACTCCTCTTCTTGCTCCCCGCCCTCCTGGTCCCACTCCTGCCAATCGGCAGTGGACAAACCTCCCTTTAATGAAAACGGCCTGGGGCCGAAACCGACGGACCTGGACCCGCAAAAATGACGGCCGCGACGCCCTCTCGCGAACCGAAAACGGCCAATTCACTCATCGACGTGTTAGGGCAGGAGGTCCGTCCCACCCCTGAGCCAATTCCTCCTCCTCGCTTCCCTTCCCGCGGTGCTGCTCCTGCTCTTGCCGCTTCTGGATGCCCGGGTGCTCCAGGGTCCCAGGGCGCGTGCGCCTCCGAGCCCTGCTGCTGCTTCCGCTGCTGGACGCTCGTATTCCTATCCTCTCTCCTCCCCCCCCTCCTGCCCCTCCTCCTCCTCCTCCTCCTCCTCCTCCTCCTCCTCCTCCTCCTCCTCCTCCTCCTCCTCCTCCTCCCCTCCGTTTTACTCCCCGCCTGCCTCCTCGCCCACCCGCTCATCCTCCTCCTCCTCCTCCTCCTCCTCCTCCTCCTCCTCCTCCTCTTCCTCCTGCTTCTCCTCCTGCTCGAGTCTCTGAAGACCGTCTTCGTTCTCATCGTGTTCGCCACCCCCGCTGTTAAATCAAGCGGGCTTTCGCAGACGAAATTTCTCGACCACGGTAGTCCAACTGGGCCCAGCAAGAACGCAAAACGAGTCAACCAATCTGATTAACTCGTTTTGCGTTTCTGCTGGGCCTGTCAAACATAGGGCGACGAAATCTATACATACCCACTGCTCCCTGGCCAGGCTCATCCTGAACCCAGCAGCGGTGTATACGCCACGCCCTCCTGGCTTGGCCAGGAGGGCGTGTACACAGCTCCTGGGTTCAGGATGGGCCTGGCCAGGGAGCAGTGGATACGGTTGGAATAGATCTCGTCGCCTGAAAACAAGGAACCAACTGTGCCGCTCAAGACACACTCACGTCCAGGCTGATGCTCTCGATCCGCCAAGCCGCCTCCCTTTCGCGTGTGCACCTTGCCGCGAGGCGGTCCAAGCGTGGAATGCATTCCAGATCGTTGCTCACTGGGGCCATCGCGTACGCATGGGACGCACAAGGACATAGTACTATGCGTCCTCCTCGGAGGCGTGCGTCCGACCCGACTATATAGTATAACCATATTGTGCTATATCGTTTCCCGAGCGGTACGGCCAGAAAGCGCCCGCCACGACGCATATCAGAGTGAGGGGACCGAACGGTCATTCATTGTCCCTGGGTGCGTGGCTGAAGTGGGGATCCGTGGTGAGGATTCTGCTTGTTGCGTTGTTTGTTGTCGTCGTCCCCCCCGCGACCCACCCGCGACCTACCTTGCGACCCACCCGCGACCCACCCCGCGACCCACCTGCGACCCACCCCGCGACCCACCCGCGATCCACCCGCGACCCACCCGCGACCCAACCCGAGACCGACCCCGCGACCCACCCGCGACCCACCCGCGACCCACCCGCGACCCACCCGCGACCCGGCCCGCGACCCACCCGCGACCCACCGTCCACCCACCCGCGACCCACCTGCGACCCATCCGCGACCCACCCACATTGTTTTGACCAAAAAATCGGCGCCTGCGGCGGTCTTCTTCAGAGCCTCGCAGACTGCTGACGTCCCCGCCGCCCCCTCACTCTTATCCGCAGCTGCGGGGTGTTATCCTATAAGATGTGTCGGTGCGCGCGTCGCCTCTGGAAGGGCGACGCTCACACAGTATTAGTATGTTGGGGTGGTGCCAATTTGCCGCTCAAGACACACGCACGTCCAGGCTGATGGTTTGGATCCGCAGAGCCACCTCCCTATAGCGTGTTCACCGTACCGCAGTGCGGCCCAAGAGTGGAATGCATTCCAGCTCGTTGCTCACTTCGGCGGCGAGCGACGGGGGGAAGTGAGAAGAAGAAGGCCTTCTCAGAAGTCGGCGGGACTTCTCAGACGCCCTCGCGCCTTCTGACTTGGTGTGTCTTCTGGGAAGAAGGCTCAGAAAACTTCTCAGACGGCCGGGGGGACTTCCGAGCCCTTCTGAGAAGGCCTTCTCCTTCTCGACTTCCCCCCCCTCGCTCGCCGCCGATGGCTGGGGCCATCGCGTACGCAGCGGACCGCTGGATCCTCCGCTCCGTCCCTTCGCGGGGGAAGCGACACCAGGCGGAGCGCACCCGCGCCCCTCGCTGCCCCCACGCACCACAGTGGCAGTGCACGTCCCTGACTCTACGGCTACTGGGAAGCTCGCGTGGTGCCTTGCTCACCACGTTTTGAGCTACTCTCCACACGGTCACCCTACCTGTCAGACGCTCCCCAATCAAGAGGGAGTACAACTTGGAACATGTCCCGAAAAATTGGCACCTTCTCCCCCTCGCTCTCCGTCTCGTCATCCGTTCTCTTCCTCAGCCCCCTCTTCATCCTGCTCTTCGTCCCGCGCTTCCTTTTTCTAACCCTCGTTCTACTCCTCCTCGTCCTGCTCTTCCTCGCTTTGTTTCTCCTCGTGCTGCCCATCCTCGTCCTGCGGTTCCTCCTCCTCCTCCTCCTCCTCCTCCTCCCAACCCCTTTCTCCCCACCTCTCCTCTGCCTCCTCCTCCCCCCAACCCCTTTCCTCTCCCCCCTCCGCGTACACCTTACCCTTCCCTCGCGTCAGGACTGAGGAGAGCAGCCAACCGCTCCGCGGCTCCCGAAGAGCTGGTCCCCTGCTCGCTCAAGCTTCCTAGCTGCTCCCTCTCGGACCTGAGGGCGAGTTGAGACCACGGCAGCTCGACATCGGTCCCCCAAACCCCTCCCGGGTTCCGAACTCACCAGTTTCCCGGGCTGCGTCCAGCCGTGGCGACGAGAGGTCCCCCAATGTCCAAGTGCCGTTGTCTCAACTGGCCATCCTCTGACCATCCAGGGGATCCCGATGCTTCGCCCTCCCTGAGATCCGAGGTTGCCAAAAAGTTGCAACAGCACTAGTGCAATCGCGACCAGAGCCCTATACCCCATCTTCCTGCAGCAATTTCCGAGCCGTGTCGATCTGTGATGGTCGCGGGACCCGAGGCCGGACGAGAACGCTCGGTGCGAATGCACTGCAGTGCCCGGGTTTCAGGGCTCGCCTCCGGGATGCCCTTTGGCCTCGCCCGACGGCGACTGGGGGGGACTTGCCGATCCACGCCCGCGGAAAAGATCTGTTCTTTGCGGCGGCCCGGCTCGCAGTGACGCCCGCGCGTGGCGATCCCACGGGGAGCGACTGGGGAGCCCCTTGAGGAGAGCGGGCACGGGCAGCGCCGGGAGGCCCATCGAGGGTCCAAACCAGCAGCACGCACAGTGCGGCCTGGAGCCCTGGGGGACAGCGTGCTGCGGCGGCGGCCCCGGCGACACGCTGTGCCCTGCAAGAGGACAGCGCGTGTCGCTCCGCTCCGCAGGGCGGGAGGCCGGGACGGAGCGTTGACGCCTGGCGATCGGGGAATGGTCGGCGTGCCGCGCCCAAGCGTGGTGGGCCTGAACCGGCAGAACGAGACGCTGCCCAGGAGTTCCCGACCTGCTCTCCTGCGTCCAGAACTGGAAGTGATGTGCAAGATCGTGCACACGGCACGCTGGGGCGTATTAGAATGCCTGCTGGCTGTCTGGTCTGGTTCCAGCTCCAAGGCCCCTCCCCTCACCCCGCACCCGTGTGTAAGTTCGCCGTCCCTTTCGTTTTGTCCTGGCGTTCTCCAAAGCCCCGAGATGGCCCCAATATTGGCCAACACTGCCTAAAGACGGCGGCGGGATGCCCAAGCTCAGGACGGCTCAAAGACTCGCCAAAAGTTCATGGTGTTCCCAAACAAAATCGAACAAGCGCCAGGAGCCCCAAGAAGCCTTCCAAGAACCCTCGAACGGGGCCCAAGGGAGGCCCCGATGTTTCCTGGCAAGGGTGTAGAGCTAGGTCCTCTTTGTGCAGTCGGGCCCTTGGCCCTCGACCAGAAGGGTGCAAAGAAGGGTGCGTCGGAGTGGGCGTTTGATTTTCCACGCTTATGCAATACGTACCTGTGGTGGGTGGGCGCCAGAAGGGGTGTATCCAACATGCGCCTCGGTGTGCATTTGACACGTGCTTTCTGTGCAGGCGCCCAGAAAAGGGGGTATCAAGCACGCGCCTGGTACGTGGTGCCACATGCAATATATATATATATATATATATATATATATATATATAGGCCAGAAGGGGGTCTCGAACCTGTGCGGGAGGAGAAAGAATAATACGAATCAGAGCAATGATTATAATAATGAGAAAATGCAACACGTAACACATAAAACATACATATCCAAGTAATATTACTACCAATGGTAATAACAATAATACGAATAAGAATGCTAGTAGTGCCACTATATGATCAAACATAAAGAGGAGGAAGAAGAGGAAAAGGAAGAAAAGGAGGAGGAGAAGGAGGGAAGGAGGAGGAGAAGGGATGGAAGATGGAGGAGGGATGGAGGATGGAGGATGGAGGGTGGTGGACGAGAATGAGGAGTAGGCGGAGGATGAGGAGGAGGAGGAGGAGGACGAGGAGGAGGAGGAGGACGAGGAGGAGGTCGCCAGGATCTTCCTGTTGAGGCGTGCTGCAATTAACGTCTGTTGCGCCGCAGGCTGTACCGCAGGAGGAGGAGGAGAAGGAGGAGGAGGAGGAGAGGGAGGGGGAGGATGAAGAGGAGGAGGAGAAGGAGGAGGATAAGGAGGAGGGGGGAGGAGTGGGATGGAGGAGGAAGCGGAGGAGGAGGAGGAGAAGGAGGAGAAGGATGATGGAGGAGAAGGAGGAGGAGAAGGAAGAGGAGAAGGATGAGGATGAGGAGGCTGAGGATGATGATGCTGATGATGATGATGATGATGATGATGATGAGGAGGAGGAGGAGGAGGAGGAGGAGAAGGAGAGGAGAAGGAGAGGAGGAGGAGGAGGAGGAGGAGGAGGAGGAGGAGGAGGAGGAGGAGGATGATAGAGGAGGAGGAGGAGGAGGAGGAGGAGGATAGAGGAGGAGGAGGAGATAGAGGAGGAGGAGGAGGAGGAGGAGGAGGAGGAGGAGGAGGAGGAGGACGAGGTGTAAAAAAACGAAAAGAAAAAGGGTTGACTCTGAGCCTGGACCCGGAACCCTTGAACCAAATTTACTTCCGCCGTCTTCCGCTGAGCTTCCGCCGGCAGAGGCCTCGTTTTAGTTTCGCCGGCCTTCCACCCGCCTTTTTCCGAGGAAGAGATGCCAACTATTTCGGCCCTCGAAGGCGAGGCCCTCACTGGAACGCGCCACGTGTACCTGGCACGTCTTCCTCCTAAGAAGGGTGTGGGTCGTGGGACCAGGGTTCCCTGTGTGCTGTCGGGCCCAAGACCAGATGGGGTTGGTACCGCGCGGGGGAGGGGGTACACTGAGGCGGCTTCGCAGGCACGTCCGCACACGCAGAAGTAGGAGGAGGAGGAGGAGGAGGAGGAGGAGGAGGAGGAGGAGGAGGAGGGTAAGAGGAGCGACGAGCAGGAGTAGAAGGAAATGGAGGATGCGGGAAGCAGGAGGGGGAGGAGGGGGGAGGGAGCAGGAGGGAATGGAGGGAAGGGAAGGAAGAGGAGAAGGAGAAGGCGACGTGCGACCTCCGCCTTCCCGTGTGCTATTTCCCACTTTCCCGTCGTGCTGCTGGTTAGATTAGTGTTGCTACGGGCTGCTCATCCTTGCTTAGCTCCCAGCGAAGAGGGAACCAGTCCACACTGGCTTCTACCACGTCGGCATATGACATGCACTTGGCTTTGGCACGTGCTGTCGCGAGGCCCGATCACTAACAGTGATGACGATGATGCTGATGATGATGCTGATGATGATGATGCCGATGACGATGACGATGACGATGATGATGATGCTGATGATGATGATGATGATGATGATGATGACGATGATGATGATGATGCTGCTGATGATGACGACGACGATGATGATGATGGTGATGATGCTGATGATGATGCTGATGCTGATGATGATGATGATGATGATGATGACGCTGTTGATCATGATTCGCAGGATGATGATGATGATGATGATACTATTGATATTATTAATAATAATGCTGATGATGACGACGACGATGACGATGACGGTGATGCTGCTGCTGATGATGATGATGATGATGATGATGAGGAGGAGGAGGAGGAGGAGGAGGAGGAGGAGGAGGAGGAGGACGGTGGCCTGGCGATGCCGAACATCGTGACGAAGTGTCAGGACAACGGCGGACAGCCACACACGGCGGTTCACACACCAAAAGGCCCCGGCCACCACCAAAAAGAATCCAAGAAGGTCTCCGAGCACCCTGGTCCCAGTCACAGCCCGAGGGCTCCCCCAAGACAGCTCGCGACCGCTCCGAGCAGGGCCCGACAGAGCCCCAAGACGCGGCTGGAACCGCCCCAGGGTGATGCCACCAGGCATTCTCTGGAGGGCCCCCGGCAGAGACATCCCGTCCCAAGAGGCGGCCCCGAGACGCCCGACGGGCCCCCAAGAGAGACCTCCCCGAGGCACACGTCGGCGGCGAGCGAAGGGGGGCGACGAGCAGGAGGGGGCCTCATCAGAAGGCGGCGGGACTTCTCAGAAGCCCCCCGGGCCTTCTGAGAAGTGCTCCGTGTCTTCGGGGAAGGCTTCGAAGACTTCCGTGCCCTCTGAGCCCTCCGAGAAGGCGCGTGGGACTTCCGAGGCTTCTGAGAAGGCCTTCCCCCTCCTCGCTTCCCCCCTGGGCTCGCTGCCGGCTGCAAGGAGGCGCCCGCGAGGCCCCCGCCTGGTCCCGAAGAAGCCCCCGAGAGGCAGCGCCACAGCCGAGCGCTGCTGCGGCCTCGGCACGCTGCGGCGCCGCAGCGCGCCGAGGCAACCGAGGGGCGGCCCCGAGAGACGGCTCGGGCGAGCCTGCCCGGGAGGGCTCGGCAGCGCAGCCACCCTCCGTGCACGCCCGTGCTGCGCCCACACGGTGGCGGGGTCTGCCGCGGGTGCCGTCGGGCCCGTCGGCCAGAAGAACACCCCTGCAGAAGAGGAGGCCCTCCGTCGGCCAAAGCGCACAGAACATCCAAGGGTACCCTCCCAGGGATGCACAGTAAGATCCCACGAGAACGAACAGATCTGGGGTACATTATTCCCCGAACCGACCTCGGTCTTAGACCTCGGTCCGACTGTAGCCGCATGAACCTCAAGTCTGGGCACTCTGCGACAACACATGTGAAGGTTTGGGCCCTCGGGGATCCCTGAGATCCGACGCCGCGAACGAAAAATGCAGCATCAAACAAGAGCCCTGATTAGGCCCATCGTTCCGATGGTGATCGTTCCGGAGCATCGAGCCGGACCGATCTGTGATGGTCCTGGGCCCCGAATGCGGGCAAAAACGCGCGGTACAAACAAAATGCAGCGCTGGGATCTCAGGGTTGGCGAGCGCCCCTGGAGGCACGCGAAGGCTGCCGCGGAGGCCGACGGACTATCGGAGACCGTCAGGCGGGTTCCGTCATCTCGGCGTCCGCCTGGGGGAGGCCATCCAGGAGCATGTTCTCCTGCGTGTCCTCGCGGATCACCTTCGCGTGGTCAACCTGGCCCACGCCCCTCCTCCTCCTCGTCCTCCTCCTCCTCCTCCTCTTCCTCGTCCTCCTCCTCCTCCTCGTGCTCCTCCTCGTCCTCCTCCTCCTCCTCCTCCTCCTCCTCCTCGTGCTCCTCCTCCTTCTCCTCCTCCTCCTCCTCCTCCTCCTCCTCCTCCTCCTCCTCCTCCTCCCCCAACTCCCCCAGCTACCCCAACTCCTCCAACTCCTCTAGCTCCTCCAACTGCTCTTCCCCCTCCTCCTCCCCCACCTCCTCTTCCTCTTCCCCCCCCTGCTCCTCCTCCTCCTCCTCCTCCTCCCCTCCTCCTCCTCCCCTCCTCCCTCCTCCTCCTCCTCCTTCTCCTCCTCCTCGTCCTCCTCCTCCTCCTCCTCCTCCTCCTCCTCCGCCTGGTCCATCATCCCGTGCAGCAGGTCCAGCGCCTGCGTCGCCGAAGTGGCGTCCGCCTGGTCCAGGCCCGCATGCGGGGCTGCCACTGCAGTGGCCTCGCTGTGGTCGTTGTCCTTGCACAGCTCCGCGAGGCCCAGCCCAGCATCCTGGCCTGGTCTGCGCAGGTCGCGGAAGACGCGGACGCCGCCCTCCAGCGCCTCGGCCGTGGGCACCTGCCCGTGCGCACACTGGAAAGCCTCGGCCATCAGCGAGGGCAGCATGGACGTCTCGTGCAGCTCGAAGAGGGAGCCCAGACCGAAGCTGCTGTCGTCGATGCGGCGCGCGCTGCGTGTGCCGTCGATGGCCGAGCGCGCGAGCTGCTGCTTCCAGATCTGGCGCACGTAGATCTGCTCCTCGATGGTCCCGGCGCCAAGCAGGCGGTATACTTCCACCACGCGGGTCTGCCCGATGCGGAAGGATCTGTCTTGTGCCTGTAGGTCCGAGAACGGGTTCCAATCTGGATCGAAGATGACGACCACCGAAGCAGATGTGAGGTTCAGCCCGACGCCGCCAGCACGCGTCGATATCAAGAAGACGCTTCGCGCCACCGACGTGTTGAACTCGTCCACAAGCCGCTGACGGTTACCCGGCGGCGTGGTGCCGTCCAGGCGGAGCATTTGTGGGGACAGGCCCTGCTGGAAGAGGCACGCCTCCAAGATGTCGAGCAACCGGGTGCTGCGCGAGAACACGAGCACCTTCTGACCCCTCCGGCGCCAGTGGCGCAGCAACGGCAGCAGCACCTGCATGCACGGTTTCTCTAGGGGCCGTAGGCAACCCGAGAGGGGGGAGGAGGAGGAGGAGGAGGAGGAGGAGGAGGAGGAGGAGGAGGAGGAGGAGGAGGAGGAGGAGGAGGAGGAGGAGGAGGGGATGAGGGGAAGAGGGGAT